CATTTTGGCTAGGAGTAGCCCATTGGAAACTTTATCAAATGCTTTAATAAAACCAAAGTACACCACGTCGTTTGTTCTTATCGAGGGACACTGTCCAGTCGTTCAAAGCTTCTAGCATGTGCGTCTCCGTGGACTTGCCGCGTAAGAAACCATGCTGATCGCAAGATACAATGGAATGGGTGTCGAGATGAAGTAATATGTGTTTTTTCATAGCCTTTTCGAATACACGAAGAAAAACTGAAGTGATGCTAACGGGACGATAGTTTTGCGCACAAGAGTGGGGAGGCTTTTCAGGTATAGGCACAACGAAAGAATGCTTCCATTGCATAGGGACCTCTGCGGTCATTAAGCTTAGGTTAAAGATGATGAAAAGAGGATAAGAGATAAAGGGGGCAACCCTCTTCAAGAAACTTGTGGGGCCATGATCGGGTGTTACCGACATTGAGGGAATCCAACGCGAAAGGATTTGTTCAATATCTTGCCTATCATACCATAGCGGGAAGGACATGACAGGAAAGCTTGATTCAAAGCGGACATTCAAATCTTCGGGAGCCGTGAAGTACACGCTTGTAAAATGTTCGGCGAAAACATTTGCTTTTTCCTGATCCGAAATTGCAACACCCGTTTAATGTACTAATGATCCTACGTGCACCCTGTCCTTTAGCATGGAATTAATGAATTTGTAAAACGAAGACGCTCTTTTTGATTCTAAGATCTTTTTCTCAAACGAGGCATTGTATTTTTTTAACCGCTTGATAAACCTATCATTACATGCCTTGTATGATGCCCAGTGCTGAGGGTTATCCTTGCTGGTGGCTGACCTCCAAGCTCTAGCGCGGCATCGATCTAATGAAACCAGGTATTGAGGAAGCATTAAGTCAAGTCAGTCAATTTCAAGCCAAACACTCGAAAAGTGCCCCTTGCTTGAACATCCATAACTTCTTTGGGAGTAGAGCTTTCGGAAAGCGGAAAGCAGGAATGTGGAGCCCTAGGTTGGCTCTTATTAACTGAATTAAGCGATTTCAAAAACATTTCTTTTCAAGAAATTTTCTCCGTTGTGATCCTAGCGAGATCATCGGGAGTCATCCACAGGTCCTATGGCTCTGAACAGCCATAACAAGCTTCATACAGGGCCTTTCGTAAAAAGAGAAATTGTGCGGGAAGCGTGAAGCTTTCTACTTTCCAGCAAAACTTTCATTTTATCCCTATGCCTGCAATTCGAAAAAATCCCCCGTTGTGATCACTGCGTGATCACTGCCCCACGACACGAAAAATCAACCCCTCCGACGCCATGAAACCTCCAGTTTTCTTAAAAACTCTGGTGTGCTTCTAAAACGCATGTTTTTGCCAAGGATACCAGGAAATAGTTCATTGGGCGCAAATTGGCATCACCTCTGCAATGCGCCATCATAATGCTTTCAGCAGAGCTATTGGGGAAGGTGTAACTTCTAGAAAGGGCTTCCTCCGAGCAAATAGATGTGCTTCTGCGATAGAAAGGACCGGCAATGTATTTTCATCTGTTTATTGATTCATGGCGGATCAACCAAGCCTTCTACCCTCCGGGGACGGTAAATTGGTACCAGCTTCGTCTGGGAGGATAAAACACTGACTTGTACATCGGCAGGCCACCGCAACTCATTGTATAGGCCACATCGCATTCATTAAGCCACTGCGATTGTGAATAGAAGTAGAATGCGTGCCGCATCCCACAAAGGGGGTTGATCAACGGCGGAGACTTTATCCTTTATCTTTTTTTGATAAAGACAGCTCCCGCGATAAAAGTGGCAAGAATAATTGCCGATCAATTGTGAAACAGTAGCTGATAAGTATTTCCTCAATGAGGGAAAAAGCAACAAGAGCCCTCAAGAACGCAAACAAAATTGCTCCCTTACAGTTACACCGCCCTGCGATCCGTGGGCAACCCCTTTCTCGAAAATCTCTTTATCACATCTCTCAGTAGTGGATATCATCCAATGCAATGAAAAGAATACGAAAAAACAATAAAAACTAGGAAGAAAAACTCCTGAGAGGCAAAAAAAAACTTTCAAAGACACGGCGTCCGAACTTGGGTTACGGTAGCGAGCGGCTTTTAGTGCATGTTGCTAGACGAGCTTTTGCACCAAAAAAATTGCATCACTCGTGATTTCTATGCGTTTTACTTTACGAGATGGTTGCATTTGACTGTATGTGCTCTCAATGAATGAAATGTGATAAAGGAGAGCAGAGTTACAGTTCTCATCATTGCGGACCGGTGGGGCGTGTCAGCCAGAAGGAGTGCGCACATGTTGAAGCCGTTCTCAGCCTTTTTTGTTGCAGCGCCTATGCGACCAAAAGTGGTAGAAAACGAGTAATACGAAGGATATAATACAGTAATGCACTTGCCCGCTTCAAAAACTGGTGCAGAACAACTTTGCCAAACCGCACCAAACGCAGCCACACTGTCACGCCCCACCGGTCCGCAGTGAAGAGGACTGTATCTAAGGATACCACCGCAAAAATGACTTGCAGTCCCGAGTATTGCCCGCCATCCCAACAAAGAGCAACTGAGCGGCTCTCCGTCAGAGGGCAGCTAGCAAGTGAGGCAGTCCAACTGAGCGGGCGTCAGAACTAGAACTTCGAGCGGCTGTAGCTCGCTTCTCGCTCACTGTGGAGTTGCGAGAGTGGGACAGCATCTAGCTTTTGGGGCTGAACTACCTGTACAAGAAAGGACGACCATGGACTACTCGAGCGCGGGGGCTATCTTCAAATCAGGACGTCGCTGTGGATGGCCGTCGTATTTCCTGTCATCGCCCGTTCTCCCACTTATGCGCTGGCAGGTTGCTTCTGTCTTGTGTGGATCTCTTCAGGGGCTCTTCACATGAAGAAGTCTTTCATCACTGAAGCTAAACGACGTCTGGGTATCGGTGCACTCTCACTTAAGAGAGGTCCCCCTCGCTTACGATCCACCTCCCTCGAGGTCAAATACGACCCCCCTGTTGTGATGATCACAACGATGGCGTGCCCTGAGTGGAATGCGTGCCGATCCCACAAAGCCGCGGAGTGCATCCATCCAGAACCGCACTCACACTGGAATGCAGCACTTTCGCCACTCGAAAGGGCAAAATAAAGCGGACACAGACGCGTGACTCTTGTGGACTCTGCCCACTTTACTTTGCAGGACAGCGACTTATGATGAATTAGGTGGATGCGTTCTATTGTCTGCAGCGTCATTAGACGATTTCACAAGCTCGTCGGAGAGAATTTTCTATTTGTCGGCTCTCTCGGCGAGCTTTTGAGCTGGAGCCTCTGCGCAAGGAACAAACTATTCTTCAGGGAGTTGTTCTTCATCGAACGCAGGGCAGTATCCCTGGTTTTCATGCAGAGCCTTATTTTTATCCTTCTGAGAAATTCGAGCTTTGTAACAACCTCCTTATCAATGGACCGATCTTTGTCCACGGGAATGAAACACGGTGGTCAGCGAGTATACTCGAAATCCCTGAGATCGGGTAGGCGTGGCCGCATTCTTCAACCTGGAGGTGTCTATGCCTCTGGTGAGATATTTTCACCGTGACACAATTGTTGTCGTGTCTCTTCCACGCAGAACAAGATGACAGTTGCCCCAGACTGGAATATTCCACGAGCGACCAGTTCTGTGCCATGTTTAAATGCCACGCCTACTCTGACTCAGGGATAAAGAGTGTAAGTGGGCAGTCATTCGAGGAGGACTGCGCAGAAGCCGTTTGACAATTCTTGGCTACATGGGCTCAATCACGGAACCGGTAGGGGAAAAGCCGCGAAGCTCACCCGCAATAGGCATCTCACACGGCATCTGGCAAGGAAGCGTCCCCAAACTATGGGTGAGACTGGGTTGACTGCCTAATTTTATTGTAGATCAATCGTGTTTGATCGTCCGATTTTCATGCGGAATGGATTGCATCCGACGCGTGCGACCGCTAAGCGACTGCACTCGCTGAGCGGCTCAATGCAAGCACTCTCTACAGTCTGCATTCATCTTCTTTCAATTTCCTTCCTTGCTCTGTCCTGATTAAGTTGTGCTCATACAAGAAAGCCTGGAACTAAGCGATGATGGGGGATCGAAAATATTTTTGGTTGGAATCGAATTTTTTTCATAGGGAAAACAAAGTTTTTCTCTTCAAATTTCGAACATCCAGCTCAAAGCCACTGTACCCACCAATCGAGTGGACGAAGACAATCAAGCTTTCTGCCTTCCTAATTGACGGATCGGTCTCCTTACCACCTTAGGAGATAAAAGTGTGATGAAGGCAGAATAGCTTCCTGTGTCCGCCCATATGGTCAACGTGGGCTGTGCCTTGAAGCCACGTCGACGATTTAATACCGGTTTTTCAACCTCAGTGGTATGGCACCGTTGAGATGACCTCGTGTCCCAAACTTTCATATTTGTCTCCTGAAACGATGAATTGGGTCAGACCATTCATTTTCATGGATTTTTCACTTCGCTCTTTTTGTACACATAGAACTGAGACCTGTAAGTATCTCGTTGCCTTTTTCGCAGTCTTTTCTTTTTCACAATCGATACGGTTACCTGTGACTTCCCTGCGGCTCTTTCAAATTCCTAGCTGATGGAGGTTTTAGGACAGTTTCGAAAAGCCACGGTAGTAAAGCGGAAGAATGGGCCCTGACGCTTGTAAGCAGGATGTTGTAGCGATGGGACTGCTGATAAGCGATCCCCGTTATTCAGAGGCGTTTTTCACGACCGTCCTCTACCACTCGGCTGCCGCTTTCTGCTTGCCATAGTTCCCTCTGAACAACCCTTTCTGAAGTCTTTTCTTCATCGCGTAGCCACTGAATCATCTGCTACATTGTGTCGGCGTAGAAGTGTAGCACGTGTGCCAAAACAATGGCCATACTTGCTCTCGGGTCGTAAACAGTCACATATGGCTAAATATTCACCAGTTCTCTGAACTTTGCCTCACCTTGTCATTTTCACGGCCATTAATGAAGTCTGATTTTTGTCTCGATTGTCTCGATCTTTTCCAGGAATGTCCACGAGGGTTAAATTAAATGTCGGTGGGCAGCTCTTTGAGACGACTTTACGAACACTGGAACCATCCAAGAAGCTAACGGAGTTAGTAATAATAATAAAATTGATATATTAATCGAGTTTAATTTGGCATCATAGACTTAAGATTTGGTCCACTGCCGATGAGCACCTCGCTATTGGAACGTTCACGTTTTGCTCTCAGTGAAATGCTAGCGCGGAATTTTGCTGTAAGAGCGACTCTCCTGAACCGGTTTTTAAATTAACGGCTGATTAATAACTAAGGCACTAAACAGTCGTCCAAATGATCTTCACTGCATTTTCTTTAGTTCTTATAGTGATGACCGGATAAGACCCTATTTCATGCTTCAAGAACGCTCTTTTCCGTGACAACAAATCTTTTGGCCAGTAGTGAAAGGTCTTTCATGTCGGTTATAGTGCGTAGGTTCCCAGGTGGCTGGCCCTGGGTTTGGCTGGCTGCCATCTCCTGCATCACTTTGCTCTGCAGCCGCTCTTGCTCTCCCTACAATGTCAAGCTGGAAGTGCTCCAACGACTAACTGAACCTCGAAATAAACTGCCGGCTTCAGAAATTCGATTCTGCCATGGACTAGCGTGACGAACACTGATGATGAAAAGATTAAAACCTTTATTTACGGTTCAGGATATGATTTTGAATGTTGTTGATAGTCTCTACCTATTTTGAACTTGACAATGAGAGCAATATTCTACGGAAATGTGTGGCCAATTCCTATGTTTAGCGTTTTTGCAACTAAGAGTGGGAGAAAAAGCTTATCAGTGTGGGACGCGAGCAGTTACCGTGCCAAGTTCAGTACTGATAACAATTTCCTTTTTTTCTCCACTTGTGTACAGAACGTCCCAGCTTTTTTGTTTTTCTCATCGGTGCCTGGTCTCCCATACACCTTTGGAAGTCATTTTTCCAAGGCCCTTAAACAAGCCTAATAAACGTTTTTTTAAATTCAAATAATGCGGTACTTCTCAGCATTCCATTTAATCGTCAGCCGAAGAAGTTCGGATCTTCAGACTGGTCAAGGAAGCGCACTGCTCTTACCATGCATTTGCTGAAGAGAAGCAGAACGACCCTATTTTTGTGGACAGGGATCCCGAACCGTTCCTCGCTATACTGAAGTATCTCCGTGATGGAAAAATCAGCCTCACCCAAAACGTTTTGAATATCGAGCGAATCAGAGATGAAGCTGAGGTTTACTACCCCCTTCTCTTTTTTTTCACCCCATTTTCCTCACTTTATTCCAAGTTGAAATTTAGTACTATGGGATCGAGTCGTTAGTTGAAAAGCTGAACTATGAAGAATCCCATCGTGGGCCGTTCTTCGCTGGAGAGATTGTTGTGTGGAGGTGAGCATTTGAGTGTCGTGCTCGTTTTCCTCCTTTCTTTTCAACTAGCATTCATGGCGCTACCATTTTGTGTTTTCTGCACCATACGAGCACCCGCTGCTTGACTTAGCGGAATGGCAATCAGCTGAAGCCTGGAATCCGTTGATTTTTCAGGGACCCAAATATTCGCCGTCTCTGCGCAGATATAGGAATTCATTTCGACGGTTCTACGGAGAAGTTGCCGTTGTGCTTGAATGCGTTCCGAGAAATTGATGGTAAGTCCAACTTTGCTGATCAACCATCACCCTTTTTCCTTCCCTTAGTCTTCACTCATCTATTTATCTGCCATATTTAGGTCCTCATTTTCACTTAAACGTTTGAGAAAGGTGTGTGCGTGGCGTATCCACGAGTGCCTGTCCAATTTTTGGATGTTTAGGTATGGAAGAACACGGCTGTCCATGGTGTCACGTGACTAGGAAAGTGGAGCAGAATAATTGTATTTTTGATTACCCTTATCATCAGACTCATTGTGATGGAACAATTATTAAGGTATTTTGTGCGGAAAAGTGTAACTTTACGTGGTTGTCGAAGCGAGTACAATAACCTCCAGCTTGCATGCTTCTTTCCTTTCAAACGTGTCCTAAAGAAGATAGAATATCCAAGTAGGTCACCTGACCTGAATCTCCTCAATTACCCGGTTCGGGCGGAGTTCAATAGGGTGGTCTACGGTGGCGGAGAAATCGACTATCTCGCTGATCTCGGGGACCACATCGCGATTGCGTGCCAGAATCTCTCGATGGCGCTCCTCCAGAAGGCTATGGCGGAGTGTCATAATAGTATTCAATATGTTCTTTAATATGGTGGTAAAAATGTCCGATCAGAATTTCACAAAGTGTAACTTAGAGCGCCTCGAAAGTCAATGAAGCAGAGTGACTTTTTTTGGCCCCCTGTATACAATATATATATGTGTGTGTGTCCGTGCGTCTGTGTGTACACGAAATTCATAGCGCGAGTCCCAGTAGCAGTGAGACATTGGTTCCGAGAAGTGATGTAAGGGGTGTGACGGGAACACTATTGGTGGGTGACAGGAAGTGATATCAGTTGATAAGACCCGATAAGAGGCGTTAGAAGACGGAGGTCACCATATCCATAACGCGGGTGACAGCATCAGCTAGCTCTTGATTCCAAGATATGGTAAAGGGTATGGGCCAAGAACATTATTGGTGGGTGACAAGAACTGTAAGCCGCTGATAAGATAGTGCGGCTGAAACTGGAAAACCGAGAAATTGATATCAATCAAGAAATTTTCGGAAATTTGCCTGTTATATGATGTGCAACGATGTGTTAGGTGGTGAAGTTCGCAATTGAAGCAAAATAAGGAAGGAACCCAACAAGTGGGAGTGGGGGACGTTCCATCGGTGGTGTCATTGAGCTCTTCGTGTGACACGTACTTTGACATGAACAAGGCAATGTGAAGTTCTCCTTCTCAGTGCCACCCAAGATCCTGCATTTATGCCTCTCCCGATTGTTAAGGACTCATCTGATCGACTAATTCAACTTTACCCATTCTGATGTCACAACTGCCATCCTTGATGATATGGCTAAGCCTTCTCACGGTTGAAAATCTGTAGTAACCAAGAGGGACCATATGTTGGTAAATAATAACTGATGTTCGGCTTTTTCAACTCATTTTCCTACATTTTATTATAAAAAAAATAACCGCCGCCGTTTGGCACATTTAGCGCATTCTACCACGCCCGAGGGAGGAGTACCCGGTGAAGCCAGGTCGGCCCGGCGAAGCCAGGTCGGCCGGCGAAGCCGGGCCGTGAAACAGAAGGAGGAGCTTTGTTCGGTAGCCGGGTGATCCGACTGGTTAAACGATATTTCACGATAGCAAACTGTGGGGCGCAAGTCGCAAATATACTGCATTCTTTATACCTGGGGATCTAATCATCTCAGGTAAATGAAGGAGTGCATCTCTCGGCTTTTTCGTAGAATGTTTTTTGGCAGTGCTCTGCACATCTGCCAACTTTCTGGAGACAGTCTGCTGTGAGTGCCGTGTCTTGTCCAGTGCGTCCCTCCTGCCGTGTTGTAGAGGGTCATTTCCCAGTAGCAACCGCGCAGTACGAGTTGACTTAGGAAATAAAGCCGAAGCAGCGTCGCTGTCACATTGAGTGGGTCGACTCTGGCGCGGATGCTATATGCCGCTTTTCCAACGCCTGTTGGCCGCAACTGTTAAGTAGTGCTCCACGTCCACGCCCCACACCCCTGTTAGCGTGGGTACCGTCCTGAGTGCCGTGCCTTTGTCTGTTGCGAAGAATTTCCCTTGCCGTGCATGCCATGCTTCTGCTCATTGTGAAGTCTCTCATGCCGTGAAAGCCGTGCCCCTGTCTTTAGCGAGATCCCTTCTGCCGTGGGTCGTGTGGCCCTATCTCTTGTGAAGGTATGTGGTGTTTGTACAATGCAGTCATTTGACATCTCGGTCTACCACAGTGGCAGTACTCTCTGTAGGGTGACTCACTCACCATTTTCTGCCTCCTGACCTTACCCAAACTATGCAACTACCTCAGAAGTACTAAAGGAAATTTTCATCGATCACTAAGTAGTATTACATCCAGGGCACATCTTTGGTTGGGGATTTTACTCAAGTTCGTGCGATCCCCCGTCTTTTTTGGGTTTCTGGGGTTACGACTCCACCCCTCTCCGACCCTCTCTCCCTCCTCATCGAATCGAGCCGTCGAGCGGGTAGGGGCGGGGGGTGTATCGTACGCATGAAACAGGGGAATCACGAAAAGTCAACCACCACTTCTACAAGGCCAGAAAGTACATACGACCCTCCCCCCTCCCAACAATGAGCAAGTAAGACTATCCCCCCCCCTCTTACAACGTCCGTGAAGCGAGAAAAATCAACTATCAAATTAAATTTTCCTCGGTCCAAATACGACCCCCGTCCTGGCGGCCATATACGACCTCCTCCTGTTGGGGATCCCCAAAAACGATGTGCCTTGGTTACATCTGATCAGGAACTCCAAGGCATGAGAAGGATCAATTGCGAATCCATACAGCTGCGAAAAGAAATCGGAGCCAGCCAGAAAACCGGAAGTTCCTACCAAATTACTACTCGATTTTCCTTGATTTCTGTACCGAATTATTAAGTATATATATATATTAGGTTGGCCCATAAGTAATGGCGTTTTTTTCACACAAATTCTTATATGGAAAATGATAATTGTTCCCAATATGTTCTACACTGTTTGATAGGTAATTTTCCGCGCTGCAAGACAGCATAATTGCCTTTTTACTATTTCTCGACTTTTGTCGATTTTTATTTCATTAAAAAGGAAATCTGGGTCGACCCAAAAGTGAATTTTCGACAACTACTTTTTGATTTTTATCCTGGCTCTCAATCTACAGAAGAAGCTCAAACCTTGTGGTATATATGACCGAAGAAAAATGCGTCTTATGACAGCTTGAAGTTGATTCAAGCGATCAAGTTGTGGGGAATTCGGACCTCGTAAAAGAGCATCGCAGGGTGTGGCCGTCTTGGGGAGGGACTGCCTGCAAAACCTACCCATCTATTTTCGAACGTCTAAGATCAACTGAGGGTGGTCGTTGATAATGATGAAGTAGCGTTCTATGACCTCTAACTCTATGATTCCTCAATTTTTGGCATGATTCCCAGTGAAAAGGTAATTCCGTAAGCTTTCAGTTGGACAGAATAGGGCATTAGGTTTAATGCTTGTCTGTGAGGTCGAAACTGAAATCTTCGAACCACTCAAAGTATTATTAGCATTCCTAAGATACATAGACTTGCCATATACTTAACAGCTAGGCCCATGTGGTTTTAGCTTTTTAATTAGAGTTCAAAAAGAGAGGCTGTCGAAAATGCTCAATTTCATTGACCTGACACTCCAATTTGAGCACTCAACTATTAGTGGAAAGATGAACTTGAAGAAAACTAAGAAGGCTATCGTGTAGGGCAAGGAATTTCCTGCAAAACAGTATAAAACTCATAGACAAAACTTTTGTTCTTCAGCGCGATATTTCGGGTGGGGAAAAAACGCCATTACTCATAGGCCGGCCCAATAGATAAAGTTTGCTTGGAAAAAGCGTTTTCAAAGCAGTGAAAAGACCCTAAGCAAACACGGATGACGTTAAATCTCGGTTCCGGCACCCAAAGCCAGCATGCGGATGACAAAATAACCGGGTAAATGCATTCACCTTAACCTCACCAGGCATCATTGAAATGACTTGAAGCACGACTCGAAGGAAGGAGGACCGCCAACACGGGTAAGAGGCTCCATGCATCCTAAGAAAGTGGGCATCGAAGATCCTTGGATATCCGTGAAGCTCCTGTGAAGTCGATTCCACACATAATAAAGGCTCTAGTCAGGTGCGTGAGTAAGCAAATCAAATCCTGAGAGCTGAATAGTTTCTTACTGTTGAATTGCCGCTATCTCTGCTCATATACCCACTGTATCGCTGTTGAGTAAGAGCTTCAGAACTGTTTAAAACGCGATTTTGTGGTTTGCTTCCTAGTTTTTTTTTCCGCAGCTATGAAGTACTTGGACATCTTCCCTCCAAACTTTTCAGGTTGATTCGTAGACACCCTATTTCAATGATTCCTCTTTCTATTAATTTTTTTCTTCGTTAGGTACACCATCTGTGCTGAGAAGTACTGGGAAACAGACGGGCCGAGTAGGGGGTATAGGAAATAAACTTCCGAATGAAATCAGGCAGTTTTCTGACGAGTGAGCCCTCCTGTCTAAGGTTGGAAAGAAACAAGACCAGTGACTTCTTCATGTTCCACGCGAATGCTTTGCCGGGAGAGGAATATTAGAGAGGTAAACTTCATTTACGTTAATACCTCGCCATACTCCCCTGTGGGGAGACTGCGTGAAGCCGTGTGTCGGGTGGCCTCGCCTGAAGACAAACCTTGCAATTTTATATTGTAGATAGTGGCGTTTGACGCAAACCTATAGTCGCCAAATGACTCTCTAGATAAGAAATGACTAAAAAACCGTGGATAACACCCGAAGTAAGGTCCGGGCAGCCTCTCTAGCATTCTCCAGACCTGCTCCTTTTATGTTAGCAAAGGCATGTTCTGCTCCCTGTGGCTCACTAGTCCTTTCTTCGCGTCATCCAGTGCTAATGTCACTTACGGGGAAGAAAACTATAAACTGAACTTGCGACAAAAAATAGCCTTTGAATCTTGGTATCACTTATGATGGCCAGTGCGCCTTTACCACTTACTGTCAAGCAGCGAAAGCGAGCAGCCCTAGGGATTGAGAACCAGACTACTTGTACAAGGGAGATCGCCTACGAGTTACATTCGTCATACGGGCACTCGATTATGGCGGTAAGGGTCGCCACGCGGCTGCAGCGTGTCACGACCGCGGCGATCAGCTGTTTCCAGTAATTTGGCCATTTTCTCCCCAATTCTCTGTGCATCTTCTATCTTTCGAAGGTTAGTTGAATTACCAGCTTTATGAAGTACATGAAGGCGTGGCGTCTTTTTTTGTTTCTGTAATGGAGGGTTTTTGCGATTTTTTTTCAGCTGTTTGTTCACTTGTCTGCCTAACTGTCTATGTGCGCAAAAAACA